AAACATAATTGTTCGACGCTATGCACACTTGTGAATTCGTTTGGCCAGGGTCACGACACGACCATGACATCAGTGTGCTTTACGCTGTACCTGATGTCCCAGCACCCTGAGGTGCAGGAGCGTGTCGCACAGGAGATCCTTCTCGTGACGGGTTCCGACACGGACTTAACGTCTGCGCAGCTCGCCGAATTGAAGTTCCTCGATGCCGTGATCAAGGAGTCTCTACGCCTCTACCCCAGCGTACCGTGCTTTTTTAGAGATTGCAAGGAAGAGTACACACTTCCCAGTAGGTTCATATAAGTAACGGAGTGGGCGAGAAGGGCTCCGCTGTAACCTACCGCCCTTCGGAATAAAGGTGCCTGATGAAAGTCACCCGCATGGGACAGAAGGAAACGTTGGGCTTCCGTCATCGCCCAAAGAGTGCGCACCATGCCGAAGTAATTAAGTTCCTCTAGTTCCGCAGTTCTGAAGGCTTGGGCGACGCCAATCCGTTAGCGCCTGCGACTGGCTGAGTAGGCCCCCCCGCCAAGCAGCCGTGAAGAGCCGGCGGCCCGCCCTCTCTGAGCGCCGGGGAGGCACCGGGATGTGCACGAGCCCGGGCTGAGCGCCAAGCGTTCCCTAAAGGGAATGTCCCCCAAATAGATGCGAGGGAACGTTCATTGGGTAACGTTTGCCGCCGAGCGTTCCGGTCGCCCGCTCCTTGAGAGCTCCCGCAGCGAGGCGGCCCAGGGCGGGCCACCGGCTCCGCTGAGCTGCTCGGCGGGTCGGCCTACCCAGCGCGTTGCAGGCGCTATCATCGGCCAACATGGGGTGCGGGTACGTCGCCCGCGTCAGTGAGAAATTCATTTTTAAACTAGGATGTCGATTCAACGCCCATTTTTTACTCGACGCCATGTGCCGGAAAGCCAAAAAGAGCCCAACGTTTCCTTGCGCCACCCGCAGACTGATTCCGAAGAGACCTCCAGGGGCGCTGCCCTATGAGTGCGACAAGGACGGATCTATACGGAAGGTATAGGAGAGGGTTCTTCGGAATCAGTCGGCTAGGGGACACCTTTTGGGGGCCTTGGAGAACGTTCACGTGTGGTGGAACCTATAGACCACGGTATTTTCAGGCGGATACACGATCCCCGCTGGTTCATCCATCATGATCAACGCGATTATGGCACACCACGACGAGAAGAATTTTAAGGATCCCTCCACATTCAACCCCGATCGTTTTGTCGCCGGTAGCGAGAGCGAAGACCACCGGCGTCACAATTTTGCATACATCCCATTCAGTGCAGGATACAGAAACTGCATAGGTGAGTGGTGAGCTCACCCGAGCACCTGTAATACTAATTTCTGAGGGGGCCGCTGGTACACGGCGAATAGTTGTCTGCAATCTTACACCCAAAATGTTTCATCGGTTTTATCTTTAGGCCAGCGCTTCGCAATGATGTCCATGAAGGCAACTCTGGCGCGTATACTTCGTTCCTACCGGTTCCTTTCCAGCTCATCGGACTCCAAGCTCGACCTCGATCTACAGGTTGTTCTGACCACAAAGTCCGGGGTAATGCTGCAATTGGAGCGACGAGCGTAGTTTTGACATATAATCAACTAATAAAAAGTCACTTTATAATGGTTGCCGTTATGGTACTTTTTATTCCCCTTTACCTTACTTACTGATACTGGCTAATATATTAAGTGGGAAACCGAAGTTAAGGCCGGTCGGGTCGCCGAGATCACCTCCTAGACCCTAAGGCCGAGACGCCGAGACTGCTCATATCTGCCGCGTCTTCAGTTGCAGTCGTCGCCGCTAGATGGCGGCGTACTCCGTCCTGTTGTCGCCGCCCCGCCAGCCCACCACATGTGTTGCTAGCGCACGGTTGTTTGATAGGTCTCTCAGCACGTAATATTCGAAGGAGGACGACCAGAATGTTTTAAAAAGTGAGTTTGTTTACAGGCCTGGGCTCGGGCCCCTGTATTACTTGCTGCATCATACGTTTCTTGAGAGTTGTTAACAGTTTTGTTCTGCGTATACAGGTTATGTTCTTCTGTTTACTGTGGACTTGATACTGTTCTCCAGCCTGAAATAGTCCTGACAGACAAATACCGGACTCATTGATTCATTATGACTGAATATCAAGTTGGAAGTCTTGGAAATTTGATATCGGGCAATGCTGACAGTAATTCTGGAACCAAAATAGTGTATGAGAAAGTGACACTCAACAATCGTGCTTCGAGAAATAGGTATAGCATGACTTTAAGTAGAAAATAATTCTTTAAAAAATATTATTATACCTTTAATTTTTGTTTTATTTTAGTCATGAAAGCCAGCTAAAGCCCAAGTCCAAAGGTAATGTGGACTATCTCAACGTAGGCAGCTAATTTTTTACGCTTCTCGTTGTTAGAAAATTATCTAATATCTATAAGATTTCTTCTCTGCAGGTACCTCCACTTTCAGAGAAAAGGGTAGAAAGTTAAAGGAAAAGATAGCAAGTCCCTTTTCGCGAAAAACCAAACCTGACATTGCAGGTGATGATAGTGTAAAAACTGTAGCAAAGTCCTGGAAACATATTCCTGAAAGGTATACAATTGTTCTCATCGGGAAATGTTTCCTGCAGTTCTGTAATATTAATTATTTCCCTATCTAATGAAAAATTTAACCTTCCTCAAAACTAGTGATGAAGCAACAGTGGTTGATGGTGTTGAAGCTCTACCAGATACGTTTTCTCGCAATGCAGCAAGACGAATCCACTTGAAAAAAAATACAAAGAAACATGTGGATGAACCTGAAAGAGAAGCACGAACCATATTTGTTGGGAATATTCCTTATGCGCATGCAAAGAAGAAGAAACTTATAAAATTCTTCTCTAGTTATGGAAATGTTGAATCAATCCGATTTCGATGTGCTCCCCTTAAAGACCCCCGTATGTCCAAAAAGGTAATACTTGCTTGTTTGAAATTTTATCACCTGCAATTCTAGTTTTAATTCACGGTTGTTTTTATTCTGCGTAGGTTGCGGTAATCAAGCATGAATTTCACCCTGAACGTTCAAGCATCTGTGCGTTTGTGGTATTCAAATCAGAGAGTGAAGCAATTCACGCTAAAGAGGCCAATGGTGCGGTTTATCATGACCACCATCTTCGTGTTGACATGGCTGGAAATGCAGCTAAAAAGGAATTTGATCCTAAAAAATGTGTATTTATTGGCAACGTTGCCTTTTGTAAGTAGACAGAATATTAGTTGATTTTTGTATATAAGTATATTGTATGTTACAGTCTTCCTATCTTAATACATAGCTCTTATAATGTAATTTTCATTTCAGCTGCAGAGGAAGAAGACTTATGGGATTTATTTTCCAAGTGTGGTGCAATTGAAAGTGTTCGCATTGTCAGAGATCCTGTTACCGCTGTCTCCAAAGGAATAGCATTTGTGAATTTTGAAGTAAGTTAGCCCTCTACATTCAAACTTCTTCCCAAGTGTATGAGCTCTACAATTTTTCTTTTAACAGGATGCAGATGCTGCTGAACTGGCTCTCCAATTAGATGGAGAGACAATAAAGAAACGTAAGCTAGCAGTCAGGCGTCATAAACCTAATTCAAAGCCATCCTTAGATAAATCTTCTGATCAAGCTCTACGGCATAAAGGAGCTAAGCCTCTAGATGAGAAAACTAAACAGAAACAAAAGTTGAAAGATGAAGTAAGATTACAGAAAAAAGAAAAACGAAAGCTGCGCAGAGAGGGGGAGAAATTGCTTGGTATTGTTAAGAAAAAGAAGAATGATGATTCCAGTGAAGCCTCTAAAATGGAAAAGGCTGACAGTGCAACCCTACCAAAAGCTGGAAAAAAAACAAAGTTTGAAAATGAAATAGATCAAGGTGAAACTAAAACTGTCGCCACATTACCTAAAGCTGGAAAGAAATCTAGATTCCAGGGCCAAACTGTTGAGGACATAAAGAAAAAGGTATGTTGTGTTATAACTTTGAAAAATATTACAATATGTGATAATGTGTACTAATTCATTTTCTGTTCACAATTTCTAGAAAAAGAAAATTAACAAAGGGGAGCTAAAGAAGAAAACGGTTGCACACTTACTTGGTGGAGGCTTGCAGAAGAAAAAGAAGGTTTAGGTTGTCAATACTTATATATGCCTTCCAGTACAAAATTGTAAAAGGGAGAGTTACCATTTGTGAAATTTCAATGTATTTTGTAACTGTCATGAAAGTGAGACAGAAAGTTGTAACTAATCTTGCAAAATTAATCTTGCTGTAGACTTTTTAAGACTTTGAAATGAATTACTGTATTTAAAACAGAACTTTTACTTGTATCTTACTTTTTCCTGCATCAGCCACATCAGGCCAATTCATTCTAAACAATTTCATTTTTGATCTTCAGTTACGTGGCTAATCAAGAGGCGGCGTTCATTGACGAGGGTAGATACTCCACACCTCGACAGACTCCATGCTCGTGCAGACACTAGCAGTAGTCTGGTTGTTTTGCAGTCGGACCGGACGTCCGGCGAGTTGTGCCATAATACGGTGAGTCTGGCCACTTTTCAGACTCAACTGGATGGGAACATCCGTTTTGGAGTGATCATACATCTCTATTTACCCATACCGCCAGAGGAGTTTGTTCAAGTCAAAGTCCCGAAGGGAATGACCCATGGGGATGGGGCGAGAGCCCGGGCCAGCCAGAATGGGCCAACTTGTTAATAGGCGCGTGTCAGAGAGAGGGGGGATTGCGCAACACGACGCCTCATTGTCCTCTCCGCCTCAATGTCCCACACGTCAGTTACAGAAGTTCTCAGAGCAGCCCAGCCTCGCGCAGCGGGCTCACGCAGTGTCAGTGAGGCAAGCCGTGGCGAAGAAGCCCTGTAGAGGTAAAAGTCCACCACACTGTGGACGGCCATTGATCTCGCCAATGTGATTTTACCCTCAGTGAAGGAAAAGGGGTAGCATGATTGGCCGTCGGGGCCTGTCGTGCGCATGCATGCCAGGCCGCGCCCACCCCCAGGGTACTACACTTTGTATCGATGTGGTATCCACCCTGTTTTAATTGGTGAACGGGAAATGTGCTGGCTGAGGGGCTCGTCCCGTGAATCATTGACCATCATCGACCCTTATCAGCCTTGCAATGATGGATCGTGGAAGTCCTGGTAATCCATCAGCTGGTGCGGCAGCTGAAGGGAATGGGGGTGGGGGGTAGGGGAGGAAACGTCACTCTGGCGCCGGTGTACCACGCAACCAGCATCACTTCACCACATCACCCGGTGTGACGTAGGCCGACCGATGACGTCGCCGGCGCAGTGACCGGTGCGGCCAACCGGCAGATCAATACGGCAAGCGGGCGGGGCGATCGCCGCGGCTGGAGTTCGGCGAGTTTGGGCTTGTCAGTCCGCAGCCGGGTCGGCTGTCAATGCGTGGCCCTGGTCCCTGCCGCTGTCCACACTCTCGTTACCATGGAGGTACGTGCCGCTGCCGCCCCGATGGTTGGCTGTCCTGGGGGTGGTTTTAACGCCAACGTTTTGTTTGGAGCAGTAGCCGCCCAGCCTTCTTGCTGCCAGCAGCCAGCTGACAGTCCCTTGGCACGTACGGGACGCACGCACACTCACCCCCTTCGCCCCGTCCTGTCACCTCACGCTCAATATTTTGTGATACTCACCTCTCTCGGCCGCAGCTCGTTGGCCAGAACCTGTGCCTAGCCCGCACGTCACACAGTCCGTTAGTCACGGATGCTGCTCCAGCCCGCCAGTCCGCAGGCGCGTAGTCCGGCTGGAGACAATCAAAGGTGGGTCCGATGGCGGGTGGGAGATGTTTCTCGGCAACGACCGGCTAGTGTTGGGGGTGCACGGCAGGGGCGGTCCGCTGAATCGAGTGCACTGTTCTTATTTCGTTCATAGTGATGGGGTGCCACTCTCATCCAGAGCGTCCTCCAGCTCGACACTTTACTTGCTGATCGATGACGTACTTAAAGTGTCGTCTGCTCTGCACCATGTTTCCTGACGTTAGAGTTGCATCCAGTTAATTTAACTCCATTGCCGGCTTTGGTCTCATCCATTTTCAGTGAGGTGTGCTGTACTATCGTTGTGATTCATAGACGGTCAATGACCTGTCTCTTTCATGATAATTGTTGAGGATAAGAACTCCATAACTTCATCCCCCCCTCATCTAATGCAGCTAGCTGCATCTGTATCTGCCCACCACTACTGACCCTGACCTTGATTCACGGTCTATTACACGGTTATCTCATTGAAAATTTCTATTATCTTAGATCTCGGATATTGGTTGCCTAAGTCAGTTTATTTTCATTCATTGTTGATATTTGTTTTCAATTACAAAGGTACCTTTTTGGTTAGGTTTCTCAAATTTGCATTTCTAATTTCAAATTTACTCATTCATTACGTTATTTTAATTTTAACAATAAAAAAAT